TCTGCCTCTCTTCCTCTCTCTGTATGTCTGTGTCTCAAATGAATAAATAAAATCTTAAAAAAAATAATAATAAATTAAATAAAATTTTTAAAAAGTATATTTTTTAAATCACACTATGAAGAAGATAAGCGAAATCAAGCAAACTGAAACATTTATAGGCAGGAAAGGCATTCTACCATCCTGTTTCTGATAGTAAACAGCGTAAATTATATCTTGTGGCAAGACTTTAAATCACTCTACCTCTAACACAGAAGAATCTTAAAAATAAATACATCACAACCAGGACAACCTAAGTAGCTACAAATAAAACATTTCTAAACACATGAGGTCATTACATCTTCCTTAATATTCTGTGCCTAAAGAAAATGGTTTTAATTAACGACCTCAGACCAAAGTCTTCATTTTACTTCAAACTAATAAATACAGGCCTCATGAGGGGACTTTCTGGGATATAGAGACAATCCCTGGGCTTTGTTGTCATTTATTTTATTAAAAACATTGGTAAGTGGGTGCCTGGGTGGCTCAGTCGTTAAGCATCTACCTTCAGCTCAGGTCATGATCCCAGTGTCCTGGTATCGAGTCCCGCATCGGGCTCCCTGTTCCGTGGGGAGCCTGCTTCTCCCTCTGCCTCTGCCTCTAGGTCTCTCATGAATAAATAAATAAAAACTTAAAAAAAAAAAAATGGTAAGTGAATTGATAAAATATCACACGCAAGGGCCTCTCATCACAAACAAAAAACCTACTAGCATTAAACAACTTAATACTTGGATTTATTCTCCTCTATACACATTTCAATGACTGACATTTCTATGAAGACAATGTGTTTGAAAATAAGTACTTAAGAGGGTTAACAGTTCAAAGTCTGGCCTCATCACCCAGTAAACAAGTCCCTAAATCCAATATAGGCCTATAAAAGACTGAGCTTGGGTACATAAAGGGAAAAATCTCTAAGAAGCAGGAAAATTCAGAGACAAACATGTAAATCAAAAGGTTGTATTTAGGGGCGCCTGGGTGGCTCAGTCATTAAGCGTCTGCCTTCGGCTCAGGTCATGGTCCCAGGGTCCTGGGGAGAAGCAGAAAGCCTGCTTCTCCCTCTCCCACTCCCCCTGCTTGTGTTCCCTCTCTCCCTCTGTCAAATAAATAAATCTTTTTTAAAAAGGTTGTATTTAGGGCACCTGGGTGGCTCAGTTGGTTAAGCAACTGCCTTCAGCTCAGGTTGTGATCCTGGGGTCCTGGGATGGAGCCTCGCATCGGACTCCCTGCTCAGTGGGGGGTCTGCTTCTCCCTCTCCCTGCTGCTTCCCACTGCTTGTGCTCTCTCTCTCTCAAATAAATAAAATCTTTAAAAACAAACAAACAAAAGGTTGTATTTAATCGCAACAGTTTCAAATAAGTCCTTACTATACACATGCCAGGTCCTCTTGTAAGAGATTTATTCATCTCATTTAACCTCACAACAATTTCCATTTTCCAGATGCATAAATTAAGCAGAGAGAATTTAAATAACTTCTCTAAGTCCTGGCAGAACAGGATTCAAACCTGGATGCTCTAAATCTATTATAGTACATTTTTTCCCTACCAACTATTTCCAGTTCTGTTTCCACTGACAGTATTTAACATCTAAAATAAAGCAAATAGGGGCACCTGGGTGGCTCAGTCGGTTGAGTACCTGACTCTTGGTTCTGGCTCAAGTCCTGATCTCAGGGTCAAGAGAGCAAGCCACAAGTTGGGCTCCGTGCACAACACAGAATCTGCTTGAGATTCTCTCTCCCTCTCCCTCTGCCCCTCCCGCTCATGCTCACTTGCTCTCCAAAATAAATAAATAATAAATAAATCTTTAAAAAATAATAAAATAAGATAAAATAAAGCAAATAAAGATAAAAGTAAAGGCAGAACCACTTAGTGACTTCTGGAATGACTTAAGTATTCCATGTCTAAATTATCATTCCATTACAAAACTGAGAGTACTTTTTCCCCATCGGATCCCAAGTGGGACATATTGGAAGAAAGTATCATATAGAAATTACCGAACAAAAATTCCCAAACTATCATATAAACCAGGGTTAGGCAAACCATGGTCTGTGGGCCAAACTCAGCCCTCAGCCTGTTTTTATACAAGCCTCGGGCTAAGAATGATTTTTACATTTTTTAAAGGTTGTAAAAACAAAACAACGAACTTATGGCAACAAAGCCTAAAATATTTACTATCTGGCCCTTTACAAAAAAAAGTTTGCAGACTCCTGATCTAAGCTACTCAATAAAGAGGTCCCCTCCTTTTTCTAAAATAGCTAAATGCAAAAACCGACTTGGTGTAAGACAAACTACATCCAGGCAGATAAAATGAGTGGATTCCCTCAGCTCCAAACCAGAAGACAAAAACCCCTTAAACACACCCCCCCCAAAAAAGGACAAAAACAAGTAATTCCCTCTCACCAGGAGGTGGCAGTAGACTCTTTCCCAGGCAAGGTTTTGGTTTCCCCATGGGCTCAAGTTTTTTTAAGAAAAGCTTAATAGCCAGAGCTGACTTCCTGGGCCTGACAATCTGCACAAGAAATGGGAAAGGAAACTGAAGGGGTGACAAAAACCACATCTTTGGTGACCTGTTCACTCCCAACTAGAAAAATGATACTATTTCCTAAAGGCATCTGGGCTGAGTTAGAAGGCAAGTGAAAATGATCGACTTACATTATTCAGGGCTGTTCTTCATTTTTGCTTCTACAATTCTTTAAGTTACTACCCTTCAGTTAGTTGAGTAAGACAATGGATTTCTGTCTCCAAACTTCAAGAAAGATGGCATTTTAAAGATCAAAAGTTAAAAGGAAAAAATGTAATCTTTAGATGTATCTCAGCAGAGCTAAACCAGAAGTCAAAACAGGAAATTACAAGTCAGTAGAACACATGCAAAAGTTGCAGGTACTGCATGACTGCACAAGCTAGCTGGCCTGACAGGCAATGGCAAACATCCATGAACTAACACTGCCAGACCTCTCATTCTTATTTCAACCCTCTGCTAGCTACACAACCAAAAACTTCATTTTTGCCCAGAAACCCGTGGACACTTAATCAAATAACATTAGAGTAAAACATGCCATGTCATGAAGCTCCTTGCTATTCATGATGACTCAGCAGCTGCTGCAAAACATAGAGGTGACAAACTACGATTGTAGACAGCAAGCAGGTAGTCTATAAGTCCACAAAAGTTCCAGCAAGGACTAAAGACAGTCTTCATTTTAAGATTTTCAAGACTGAACATTTTTTTGGTATACTCCTGGATACTTTGGTAGTTTCTGCCAATATTAAGTAACACTGGGAGGGTTGATCAAGAAACCCCAAACATCTTTAATCACAATCCAAAAGCTAAAATGTATTTTCTTCTTCAGTTAAATGGCTAGGACAGAAGCTAAAAGTATTTTACATAGGGAGAAATGATAAATTATCAAACTCTAAAGCAAAACTAAACAGCCTAAAATCATATCAGCTCTAAGACAACTGGGATCACAGGTATTATGATGTTAAGGCATCATCTCCCCAAAATTAGATTTTTATGTAAGTACATTTAAAAATAAGCTGTGATTGTAACTTCTGCCACCTGGAATATATTACCTCCTTTCTAATCTCTGTCCAGACCATCCAATATATGTATTTAAAACATTTCACTTTTTATATAGTAACTTTCTTTTAAGAAGATCTAAGAAAGCACTCAAAGACATTTATTCTTCAGGAGAAACAGAAAGCATGTGTGTCTAACTTCCATTCTACAAAAGGATTAGGTTAAATGGCCAGGCGTGTGACCTGAATTCTAATCTTAAATTTGCCTGTAAGTACCCCCTGGTTCCTCACAAAGAAATCTGAAAACCAATCATTTTCTGTATTTATCTGGGGGAAAACGTAATGTCAAGACTTCTAACCATTAGCAGAGAGCTACTTAATATTGTAAATCACCATTTTTACTATTAAAGAAAAATTTCCCCCAAATTTCTACTTTAAAAGTTTTGTTTTTTAATGATACAATTTAACACCATCACCAAACATGTTATTCAAAAACCATCACCATCCAGAATAAAGCAATCTAGGAATCCTACCTTTAACAGGATGCAACAAGTTATCAAACCCTTTTGCTATACTTTTGTTTTTTAACAAGTTTAAGACACACACTTCCTGCACCTTAGTCTGATAAGTTCTGTAAGTGACTTTTATTAAAATAAATTTTTAACAGTTTCCTATTCAATTCCCATAGCAAACAAATAAGAGTTTTTTTAAAAATCGGATTTTCTCAAAATCAAATGTCTCATTTACAGTTAGGATAAACTCGTTTTCACAATTTCAAACACCCATGAGTGCACAAGGTGGTCAATTATAAGACTGCCGACATTCCTGGGGGTCAAAAGTACCTCAACTTCTAGAATACACCCCGTAATATTAAAATATTTCCTGCGCGAGATCAGCACTGGAGTCCCGGTGAACTGTGCATAATAGCCAATTCTAGCCTCCAAAATAAAATGGGGTGGGGGGGGAGGATAGAAGGAAGGAGGGAAGAGCCTCGCAGCGGAGAAAAGACGTAAGGGTGGAGAGGGACTTTCAAAATGCCCCAGGGCCTAGGTAACTATAACCCGGTTATGGGGGGGTGGGAAATCTAAGCTGATGCTCTCAGATCGAAGGACACCGGCAGGGGAGACGCGGAATTAATAAGATGAAACAAAGTTATTCCACTTTCTGTGTAACAGCGCCCCATCCCCACCCCCGGTGCCTCGGAAGCGGACTGCCGGGGGACAGCCCCCTCCCCACACAAACTGAAACGCGGGAGACTAGAAAACAGCAAGCATACGAACCTCCAGCCACATCTTCTCCTTTCTCCCTCGAGAGAACGTGAGTAATACGCTCAAACCCCCTAGTCCCCGCCAAAAACGAAAGAAATGCGCGCATCGCAGGCCCAGAATTTCCGTTCCCGCCCTATGCCCGTCTGGGGAAGCCCCTGGCCCAGAAGGCTGGGGGGAGGCGGCCCGAACCACACGTGTGTGCCGCAAAGACGGGCCTGTCTCAGCCCACTTCCCGTCGCCACCCCAGCGGCCTGAGATGCCGCCGCCTGGCTCGGGCCTTTCCTCAGGCCCTACCGGCCGCTCCACGTGGGGCGCCAAGGCCCCTCACCGCCTGTTCCCTCCCGCTGAGACACCACCGCGTCGGGGTCCCATACCTGGTGCTGCTGTCGCCCCTGCTGGTAAGGCTTAATTGGCCCCTGGTGGCAACGCCGCGTCCGGATCTTGCCGCCACCGCCCCCTCCTATTCCTCCGGCTCCCGAGGCCATGGCGGAGCCTCCGCTGCTTCCCGCTTCGGGGCGGGTAAGGGGGCGGGAGAGGCAGAGGTGGCGGCCTTAGAGCCCCCCCCGCCCGGCCCCAACCCAAAAGTCCGCCTTCGCTGCCCACAGGAGCACAGGCACACCAGGAGCCGCGAGGTTTCGAGCAGGAGTGGAGAGAAAATGCGCGCTGGCAGCAGGGAAGGCGGTGGCGGCGAGAGAGGCCGAGGAGCTGGCTCCGGTCCGGCAGCCTCCCGCGGACCCCCGCCTCTGTGTATGTCACGGTCTCTATGGAGATCCCCCGCAGAGGACAGAGGGAGCCTCTCCAGGCGCTGCTTAGGCCTAACGCGACCGCCGGCTGATGGGGATTCTTCCGTCGCCCTAGCCGTAGCTGCCGCAGTTGAAGCCGCCGGCGCCGCCCGCCTACCCCTCCCCTCTGCGCACAGCGCCCGCCCCGCCGTCGTCGTCGTCCCTGCAGTCGCCGCCGCTATTGCGCCTATTGCCGCTGCTAAGGCCGCCGCCGCGGTCGCGAGCCAGAACGCCGTCACTCGTCAGCGCCCGACGCGCTTGCATCATCATGCTGCGACCGAGTGATAGGCCAAGGGGAAGGGAGGGCCGGTCGAGCCCGCGCTCTCGGCCGCGCGGCACGCTGGGAAGAGTAGTTCAGCGGAAGAACGCGAGTTCTCGGAAAGGCGGACGCGGAAGGAGAGCCGAGGCTCCGCGCAGAGGCACAAAGCCGGGAGCTCCATTCTTTTTACTGCACTTAGCGGTAAACTTAGACTTTGAAAGAGGCGTTCAAAGTAAAAACAGTAACCTCCTTTCACTGTACTTTCCCATCGGTTGGTAAAGCGGGCAGATAATAAAATCAAAAACAGGAGCTAATATAGAGCAGTTTTTTTTAAATGGTTGAAAAACAACGTCCGAGATCTTTAAGCCTAAAGATGAATTAGAAAATGTAGTTTCATTACTGTCCCATTAACATGTAAGGGCTTTGCTGTCAAGCAGGAGGGTTGGAATTCTGGCTCCACCATTCTCTAGCTTGACCTTGGATAAGTCAAAACGTTCTGAGCCTTGGCTTCTTCCTCTCTAAAATGGGAACCATAAAATCCACGGTATAGAGCTGTTGTGATCATTTCTGTAGAGTACTTAGTACCTGTCCTGGTATACAAGAAATGCAATAAATGGTTACCATTATTACCCACGCAGTCAGCTCACATTAGAGGTAAGTGGTAGGTTACCGGTCATAAAAGTATACATATATTTGCTCCGAATAGAAAGCATTATATTTAGGAAAGTTCCTAAGCTAGGATCAAAGACTGAACCCACAAAGAATAGAGATTGTAGGAATTGACCGTTAGAAAGGGCTTGGTGGTCACATGGTCCAGCCCTTCCATTCAACTGACGGGACAGGGGTTCAGAGAATTCAGGTGGCACCTTCAAGCCAGGCAGTCAAAGCCACGACTATAACCCAATTTTTCTTTGAGAGTTGAAACAAGTGCACAAATGAGTAGGAGGAAAAAATCTGCTGAAAAAAAAAACAAAAAAACACACATAGGCTTAGTGTTCCATTTGAGACCATTGATTTTAAAGCTTAATAATAGCTTTGAACTCAGACTTAATTTCATATCTATCACTTACTAGCTGTGTAGCCTTGGGGAAGTTACTGATCCTCTTTCTAAGCTTCAGTTTCCTCATCTGCAAATAGAATGAATATTTACCTCAACAAGGTGGTGGTTCCGATGAAAGCATTAATGTATATATAGCTGGTAATAACTGCTTAGAGAGAAAGCATGTAATATCAGCTATCAGGTACAAATTAACTCTAAGACGTTTATACCATCTTCACCACCAAACTGCGCAATTCAAATCACTCTAATAATCATGTAAGTCAAATTGTGAAACCAAACTTACAGTACCTTGGATTTTGTAGTACCTTTCAGCACCTAAGGAAACATGCTGTATCAGGCATAGGTTTATAGAGCAAATGGCTTTCAGTGGTACCTCTGACAATAATCACCAAGACTATAAAAAGTTGCCAAATATGACAGACAAAATTAATATACTTCCTGTTTCCTGATCCTCCTCCCTCCATTCCCGGGGCTCCACCAGTAACTCCCCACTAGACCCCTGAGGTATACATAACTCTTTCCCCTGAAGCACCTCAACCTTTTTAAATACAATTGTTTCTCTTTCACAGTTCTTAGCTAGGTATTTGCTAATAAGCTAACTCATGGGGAAGATCTCTATCTGAATATTTCTTTTTTTTTTTTAAGATTTTATTTATTTACTTATTTGACAGAGACACAGCAACAGAGGGAACCCAAGCAGAGGGAGTGGGAGAGGGAGAAGCAGGCTTCCCACAGAGCAGGAAGCCTGATGGTGGGGCTCGATCCCAGGACCCCGGGATCATGACCTGAGCCAAAGGCAGACGCTTAACAACTGAGCCACCCAGGCGCCCCATACCTGAATCTTTCATTGGACTGCATACATAGAAGATGAAACTGTAGCCCTATCTCATTTTCCCTTTTCACCCTACCAGATTCAGAATTGCCAACACAGGAGAGTGAACTGGCGGGGACTCAAAAATCATCCCTTTCTTGGTGGTTTGTTATTTGATGTGTGTGTGGCACAGCCTTCTTTTCCAAGCTTTGAAAGGGACATGCAAAAGAGCTGGGCCAAACTAAGACAAACTTCAGAATAGAAAACTGGTAGGAACTGGGGTGCCTGAGTGGCTCAGTCAGTTAAGCATCTGCATTCAGCTCAGGTCATGATCCCAGGGTCCTGGGATTGAGCCCCACATCGGGCTCCCTGCTCAGCGAGGAGTCTGCTTCTCCCGCTGCCACTCTCTCTCTCTCTCAAAAAAAAAAAAAAAAAATCTTAAAAGAAAATTGGTAGGAATTGAGGAAGTATGGAAACATCCACATCCCCTTTAGCCTTGGTCTCAATTATTTATTCCATTTTATAGTTATTTCTTTGAAGTAAAACAGTATTTAAGGAAAGAATAATACATTATTCCCACATTCCACATTCATGTTACTGAGTTATTGGAAATGTTACCAGGCTTAACAGCAAAGAAGAAATAAAAGGCAAGAAGAAATTCACATTCAAAACTTCCTACAGCCTAATTTTACCCTGAAATAGTATGCCTCACTGTGGGATGAAGTAACTTCTTGTGCATAGTTTGGGATTCAAAAATAACATTGTTTCTATGCTGAAATTCAGTTTGGAGTTACAAATCACCAAACTTAGAGTTCCTCATACATTTTTGGTACAGGACTCATTCTTCAGTTAGGAATTACTAGGAATAGAATAGATTTTAATAAAGTTATTCTGATTATAAATTTAAAGAATCTGCCCTCATTCGAACATACAAATGAACATTTCTCTAACAGATACTATATATAAATTGGAAAAAAGTATCAAATGACATGAACAGTAAAAGGGATTTTTGAAATCATTCCAGCCATAGTAGGAATTAACATGAAGGGAATAATTATTATTTAGTACTTATAATTAGTCAATTCCTATAGATGATGAATTTAATCCCTAAAAAACCAGTAAGATTCTGTAGTTCACAGAATTGGATGATATCACTCATAAATTTTGTGTTATGAACTAGCTGTCTTTTTTATTCATTCTTTTCCTTATTGTTAATTTCTATTCCCATCAATCTTTAGACCTCTGAGAAGTGATCTTAAGTTTTGGGTTGTTTCAATGAGTGTATTTTAATAGAAACTCATTTCTCCTCTACTCGGTTTTAAACTCCATGAAGACAAGGATTTTTTTTTTTTCTCACTTCCATATCCTGAACACAGAGAACAGTGTTGATACATAGCAGTCACTGTGTATAGACTACAGCTAATCACTACCAATGTCGACTGTTTCTATTTTATTGTAATAAATAATACACTGATGAATACAGGTAAACTGCTTTATATAATCTTTCTGAGTTTGCACATATTTGTTTTCTATACTGCATAACAAATTATTTCTCAAATTCATTTATTTATTCAATGATAAAGCATTCAAGAGCATCATGAACAAATCCCTATGATAATGTTACAGAGAGATTCTCGTGTAATCCTAACAATCCTTAGAGGAACTATTGTCATTTTACAAATAAGGACACTGGGCACTGAGGGGATAAAAAATATTTTTTAAAATCATTTTTAACATAATGGCAGAATCCATATTTGAATGATTTCTCCTCCTGCTAACTCCAAAGCCCACGCTTTTGCACTCACTCTGTCATTTTTTAGCCAGTTTAGAAACCTATCTACCACTTAAAACATTTTTCTTTGAAAAGATGATTTTCCACTTTAATGGAGACTAACATACCTTAGAAACCTCTCTCTCTCTGATGGCCTCTACACTGACTAAAATGTTTAGATACTCGTTCTATCTTACTGCATAGTGAGAATGGACACTTGCCAACTTTATGGTATGATAGCACTGGAAAAACCAGACTCAAATATCTGGCTTAGGATCACGTGGGAATGCAAGGACCCTCATCATGGCATGGGGACATGAGGATATGCAGTAGGATGGGAGTGAAGAATAAATCAGCTGGGCCATTTGGGTGGAAAGGATATCCTACATTAGGCTTCCAAATTCAGAGAGAAGCCACATTAGCAAGATCAACAGAATTCAAAGTATATCATAAAAAATGAATACGTGAAGGATAAGGAGAAAAACTAACGGCTATTTATATTCAGACCAAGTAGCAGAACCTCAGACAAAACACAGGAATTCCTTCCCAATAACCAAGTTTTCAACAAAGATTAGCCCAACTTCACTTTTCTTAAACCTGGACCCAGTTTTTTCAACCACAATGGTTGGTTAAATTGAGAGAGATCTCAATTTATGAAAAGCCTGTTACAACTAGGGCCCTTGCCCCACCCCCAAAAAAATTTATCTTCCCGCCATACAATATGGTAACTGTCTGACAACTATAAAAGAGCACAGAGAGAGGCTGCTGACCCTGCTCTACGAGATAAGAACTACCCACTCATTTCAAATGAAATACAATTTAGTCTAAGTCCAATCTAGATTGAAAAACAGCCTTTATATATTCTTCAAAAGATAGTTCTGGCCAAGGGAGTATTTAAAGATGAAAATTATAAGAAGTTAGAAAATTATGTGTTTATTTTATCTTAACATAAAATGAAGTATCCACTGTGATGTCTATTGAAGCAAATTATTTTTTTAAAGATTTTATTTATTTATTAGAGAGCGAGTGAGAGAGAAACAGCATGAGAGAGGAGAGGGTCAGAGGGAGAAGCAGGCTCTGCTGAGCCAGGAGCCCGATGTGGGACTCGATCCCAGGACCCTGGGATCATGACCTGAGCCGAAGGCAGTCGCTTAACCAACTGAGCCACCCAGGCGCCCGCAAATTATTATTTTTTTGAGAGTAGTTTTAGGTAGATCTCTATGATCTTCACACATTTTCACGTGCTAATTATTACCAAACATTTCATTATATAGAAAAATAAGGTGAAATTCATTTCTTTTTTTTTTTTAATTCATTATACACTTCAGTCTCAACTGGAGAAAATCCAAAGTGGGGTTGAGATTCTAGAAAGTTACTAGGTTTTTGTCTGTTTGTATTTTAAGGAAGAGGGGCCATAACATTGGGAAGATATTTAAAGATGCACCTCATTATGCTCTCATTAACTTACTGTGTTCTCTGTCTTTGGGGAATAAAGTAATACTTAAGACTAAATGAACTAACTAATATCAAATTTTGATTAACTACATATATCACTTAATTCTAACATGTCATACAAGATTTTTCCTCTTCCTACTAGCCTTGTATACTTCCTACTTGCCAATGTATACTAGCCTTTGGCATATATGTGTTTACATATATTCTATTAGAGTTTAAGGCATATTTTAAACTTACCAATTCTAAATAGAAATCCATTTCTATTGGATTCAATAATAACCAAATTCAGGAAGACCAGTTCCATCCTAACAAGATAGTTAATGAATCAGCTAGGATTAAACACTTTTGTCTAATATTCAAATATACACTAGTATAAGTATAAACAACTGAGACCAAGGCTCAAGGAAGATGTGGATAGTTATAAACCATTTATAAACATAATCTAAATATCAAAAAACATTTATTGAGGACCTACTATCTGGTGGTTTCTAGTACATGTCAGTGTACCAAACAGTAAAACAACCTCTGTTCACATGAGGCATTACACTTTATCATTGTCCTGAGTTCTCTTAAAGTTTATGGCATTATGGTCTATTAACCCCTAGAACATGACCCTAATAACTCACCTTCAAAATTCTACATTCTAGATTCTAAACACATGCTACTAGATTCATCCTATACAATAAATCTACTGGCTTGGTTTCATTTTTTAAAATATAATTAACCAGTTACATTAAAAAACTGAACTCATTAAGGTTGCCAGCTATGTACAACTATAATGTTTGCAAAACTCAATTTGCTTGCCCTAAGCTTTTTCATTTTTTTTAAAGCATTTGTAGAGAATGCTTGAATTTATCAGACCTTAATTCATTATGATGTTTCTTTTCAAGAGCATTCTGTGAATTAACATGTTAACAACCCTAACGTACAAATCACCTCACCACCACCACAAGAAAGCACAACCTACCCAGTTGAAATGTGTCTTTTGGCCTCTTGCTACTCATGGACTAGCAGCACCAGTCCCCCAGGAACTTGTAAAGGGTCTCTGCCCATCCCAGGCCGTCTCAATCAGAATCTGCATTTTAACAAGATATCCAGGTGACTCATATGCACATGACATTTGAGAATTAACCATGCCACCGGAATTTATAAAGCACATCTGAAATGTTAAGGGCCTGAAACTAAACATTAGTTATGAAATATACTTGTGCATAGGTATTTAAAGAACATCTTGCTAATTCCCAAATATCCTTATTTGTACAAGTATTCTTTTTAGCGTTAACTCGTGAGAAACAAAGGACATGGATGTAGAATAAAACATCTCATAATCCAAGAAGCTAGGAGCTGAGAAAAGAAATATCAGACTACCTCCTTAGAATTGCTACGACTTTCCTCTTTCCAAAGCACGCACAAAATCACTGTCAAGGTAGAAAAGCAAGCAGGAACAAACTGTAAGAGCAAATATTCGCAGTACTGGGTTGGCATCCAATATCTAAAATGCAAGCAAAGAAGCCAGGCAGCTTGGAGTAAAATGTATAGATTTCACCTTTCCTAAACTGTAACAGAAATAACAGCTTTCAACTTGACAAATCATAAAAACAACTCAGTAGATTACCTACTTCTAATAGCTTGAGCTCTTAAATAAGTGCTATGAAGTCAAATCAATATTCAGATGCAGTATTTTCTCCAAAAATTACTTCTGGAAAAAATTAATAATAATGGACCCTTTAGTCTAAAGATTTTCTACACCTGGTCATCAAAACTATTCTTCCTACACACACCTAGAGTTATTTCCTCCTACAATAAGGAAGGCATAAAACATGAAATACAAGAAATAAATCATTTTTAAAAAACTCACCTACACCGTCCCTCCTGGAAGCCAAACATAAATACATTTGCTCATTTGAACACTTACAGATGAAGGAAGGCATCAAGGTAATGAGTTATCCAAAGTTTCTATAAAGAGCAGGCTTAGGAATTCCCCTTCTTCATTAATCTACAACAACCAACAATTTAAGAGTTGATGAACCAGCAGCTTATAGAGCACGTAGATTTTTTTCCTCTTATTTAACATTTGGTACGTTTCACCTTACTCCAGAATAAGCAGAAACAAAATTAAACATATTTTTCTTTTTATTTTCATTGGCTTCTTTTTCCAAAGGAAGCTAGATACTACCTGAAATGGAAGTTCTGGATTTAACACAACCTTATTCTCCATTATCATAGGTAGCAGAGTTGATTTAATGGTTAGTTGATAAGATGATTTTTAAGCCAGTATGTATATAACCCACAGCCTATGACCTCAACATAGCTCACCTTGTTTGGATCCATTATATAGACAATAGAATATCGTGGGCTACGAAAAATACAGTTCTTCAAATCCAAAAACCAAAAAGAACTTTTCAAATATTCTCCAAAGCACATGCGAGTGAAGCTATACTAGTCTACATTCAACATTAAGTAGGCAGTATTGCCGTACAAACAAAAGCAACTCCCCAGACATTGAGCAAAGTCTGCTTAAACACACCACCCCCAGGGAGGGAAAACCACCTCGCACGTGAAGGTTTAAGTTCAGCATGTATACCATGCATCGAATTAAAACATCAAAGCAGACCATCAGTCTCCGTAGAGGCCCGAACCAAGCAACAAAAAGCTTCTGCCAGCCACAATTAAATCCAAGCCATAACTTAGATGCTTTAAATTAGTAACAGTTAAACCAGCTCTTTTTCACTTGCTTGCTCATAAAATCTTGCCCCCGCTGTGAGTCAGCAGTGACTCATAAGCACTTCCTACAAGAAGCACCTGTTTTTAGGCCCATCCCTTGCAACCAAAGAGCTGAGATGAGTGATCTTAGCTTAATGCTTGCTAATATGGAAGTATTCCTCAGCTCTCTGCTACTAGATAGTGCCAGGCAGAGCTGCAGGGACTGCAAACAGGTAACGGTCTGCAGCTGGGTGGTAAGGAGACCAATCTATAAAAGGGCACTAGGAGTTGCCAAGATCGGGAAGGAAAAGCCATTTTTCTGTTTTCACTGTTGGCCATTGTGAATATGCCTCTCCTTTAACTCCTCATCCCTATGGGCTGACCTTTTTGCAGCTAGGCTTCCTCAGGTACCAGCATCTTCCTTCTCTTTAGGTCTGGTTTGGGTTTACAAACAAAAGGGAGTGGACTTTTCCCCTTCATTTGGTCCATCACTAACTTTAGAACTGGATCCTTTGAAAAGTATTAAAAACTGAGATGGAAAAAAGAAATCCAATAGTTCTTGGAAGCTATCTGTTCTCAGTTCAAGCTAGGGAAAAGGAAAGTCCAGTGGCCGGTTCCATGTCGTCTAAACAAGACAGGTCAGATCGTTTGTTTAGATTTTTCAGCAACTTTCTCTGAACACTTCCTATCCACGTGAGCAATATAGGAAAAGGGGAGATGTTTAAGGAGTGCTATAAGAGAGAAGAGGGGGCACTGAGGGAAGGGGAGAGCAAGTGCTAAATTCTGACAAATAGTCACAACTAGCCATTTCTGAAAATTCAGTCGAAACTTCTGCCAGGTCCACAGCTGACCCAAACTCACCTTTGGTGTGTTCACTCTCTATAGGTCAGTCTTCTGAGTCCAGATTGGCTCCTTGATGACCCAACTTCAAAAGCTATAAAATAAACGAAGGGAAGATGACGGATACCTCGCAGGAATCTTGCTGCAGAAGGGCAGAGTATCACTTACCAGCACCCTAAATAATGAAGGACTAATGAATAATACATTCAAAAGAAAAGACCCTCCTTATGGCCACTTCAGGGTTTCCTAACATTTCATATCCTGAGTACAGGGCACAAATTGGAGAAGTGTTTATTGATTGGATGAGTGCATATTCATAGGATTTGCAATTCGTTATTCCCCTCAACAACTTTTATGTTATGGAATTTTTTTTCTGTGTTTCAAAACCACCTTTAATCTCGTCTTTTCCTTTTAAATACAATTTACTGCAGACCATGTACTAATTGCGGTGTCAGAGATAAACAGAAAAAAAAAAATCGCTTTTCCACAATCAGATGCAAATGGTGCTTCCCCCTGAGGGATTATACCAAAATAGGAAGTGTGAATCAAAGAGACAAAGATATATACTTTAAACTTTGGGATACTATTCAACAAATACTTATTTTATCCTGGAACACATGTTCCGCAGGTAGAAACACGATGATGATTTATGTCCCACCATTTAGGGACAGGTAGAAATGGTTGCACTGTTACTTTATTTTTAAGTATTTTGAATATAGGGGCGCCTGGGTGGCTCAGTCAGTTAAGCGTCTGCCTTTGCCTCAGGTAATGATCTCAGGACCCTGGGATCGAGCCCTGCATCCGGCTCCCTGCTCAGCGGAGAGTCTGCTTCTCCCTCTTTCTACTTCTCCCCCTGCTTGTGCTCTCACTCTGTCTCAAATTGATAAATAAAAAATCTTAAGTATTTTGAATATATACTTATGCAGATAAATTTCCTTTGGGAAATGTGTATTACATAAATCGTTTTAAGTTTAACGTTCTCCATTTTAAACACCTTGTCAGGCAGATAAAAGCTTCACATTGACCAGCATTGTCCCCACAACCCTGGCTCACTGGAATTGTGATCAGGACATTCAACCAAGGGACTTGAGTACAATTTGAGGGTGCCATTGCTTTCTTTAGATGTACATAAATTCTAAAAAGTTTAAAAGAAGGTACTGTAGGGGCACCTGGCTGGCTCTTGAGCATGTGACTCTTGATCTTAGGGGTGTGAGTTCAAGCCCCACATTGGGTGTAGAGATTACTTAAAAATAAAATCTTTTTAAAAAAATATATACTCTAGGGATGCCTGGGTGGCTCAATTGGTTAAGCTTCTGCCTTTACTCAGGTCATGATCCCAGAGTTCTGGGATCTAGTCCCACATCAGGCTCCTTGCTCAGCAGGGAGCCTGCTTCTCTCTCTCTCTCTCTTTGTCAGAATAGATGGGTAAAATCTTTAAAAAAATAAATAAATTTTTTAAAAATGTATACTCTAGACAGAGATACATAGGCTGAAGGTTGCTACAGGACCAATACTGTCCCCAAATAACCGCAGTATCAAAGTAGGGTCTTTCGGGAGCAAGGAATATGATTTAAAGCCTCCTACACTCATATTTACTAAGTGAAATGATAGCACTCTGGAGTATCTACTATATGCCACACACCTCGCTGGGTGCTTTCTATGCATTATCATTCGTCCTTACAAGTCTTAAAGGGAGTAGTCTGAAAGAGAAGGGTTACGTAGTGCACACAAAGTCATGCGCCAGGAATGAGCTCTGAACACAGGTCTAACTGATTTCCAAACCTGTACCTTTTTCATTAAACCAAGAGGCATTCTAGAACTTCCCACAGGCAGGGCAAACGGAAGGAGTGGAGCCTGAGCTGTTTAGGGAAGCTGCTGAGCCCACTGACATCCTGCCTCTTCTCCCAGAGGTATGCCTAGCTGTTTCTCAGCAAGGCCTTGGCAGGATTTCTGTCGTACATTGGGATTCTGCTAACCAGATCAAGGTACTTTGGCACATGTCTTAGTGGGCCCCAGACTCCTAGAAGTGAGTTCCCTTCTTTGCAGTGTTGCTGGAGAACACGTAAGACCACCAGTTAAATTTGAATTTCAGATAAACAACAATTTTTTAATATAAGTATGTCCCCAATACTGCAAATATGGCATGGGACAACTTATTTGCTAAATCTGGCCACCCTATTTTTTTGCCCTATTTTGAGATGTCTTAAATTAGAATCAGAGATAATGCGTGTATGCTGGAGTGACTTACAGCTCTATACATGATCTTCAGCTTGGAATGAAGATATCCTGGCTATTGACTGGATCTCGGAAACTCAACTGTGAGCACATCACACCCTCCCCCTCCGGCACACACACCTACTCCAAGCTGTTAAATGGTTTATCATGGAATGCCACCATAATTCACTTGATTAGTAACATCTAGTGCAGCCGACTTGAATCTTGTGTTCACAACTCAAGGATACGAGAAATGTAAATTTATACTTAATTCAACAGAATTTGTTTCAAAACCCCAAAAACAAACCCAGCCAAGTCAGGTCCTACCATGCCCCCCTTCTTTCCCCAGAACTGTTCCTAGGGCTCATGTAGTGCTGGGGGCGGGGTGGACTCGTTCTCGATGTTGTCTATCCATGCAAATTCTGGCCCCTTCGATTCACCTGTTTTTTTTCCCCTGTTCTCCTCAGGTGCAGGCATCATCCTGCAGCATCTGTACCATCCTAAGACTCCAAACACTTCCGAAGCCCTTGAAGGCCCCACATGCCTCAATGCCCAGTGTAGCCTTTCCTCTCTGGGTCCTTCAGCACCGTTGGACTTCTGCCTTTGGAGAGTGAAGCCTTTGCGCTTTGCCATTGAATCTTATGGACTAGCTCTGGCTTTGCTGTCCCCTAGGGCCCTCCCCCACTAGAGGATGCAAAGACACCTGTATCCTCTTGTCTTTGGGCACCCTCCCCCCATATCCTCTCTGCTTAGACAGTCTTTCTCAATCTTTTTCTAGGGATGCCTCCATCGTCCTCAACACCCCCACCCTCCAGCTCTCCAACCTTTCTCCTGTGCATCTAATCCCCTTAAGGATTTTAGGTTTTTGGAAGATCCTGGAAGGTTACTTCCTTTTCACCCTGGCTTATTCTTCCGCTGAGGCAATGAATACAAGCGATCAGGTGCTTGAAGAGGAGAGAGGGTAAGGAGAACGGTAGAGTAAATGAACCAATTAATTTTAAACATTCCCGGACCTTTTTTTTCAAATTTAGGCTAACAAATTAGATCCTGATTTGTTCAGGCATAAGCTTTGCCTTTCCACAGTAGTCCACAAATTCTGGCATCAGCATCAGATGGGAAACATTTAAAACGTGGATTGTCAGGCCCCACCCCCAGACCTACAGAATCTCTGGCGTGGAACTAGGAACATGTATTTGAACAAACTCTTATCATTTTTCTTACATACTTAGTTGCACTGGTCCTCGACCTCTTCTTTCCTACACTTTCTGCCTTCTTTCTCTTTCATCCTTACCCCTAGAATACGATAGCTGGTTAAAGATTCCTTGCACGGAACCAAAATCTAGTGCGGAATTCTGTACCCATCTTTCAAAGGGGAGGTCACCTGGGGTCCAAGAGGATGCTCATGTGTCCTGTCATCTCTTCTCCAGCTTTTATCCCACTTTTCTCAGACATTGGTGTCCTGTCCAGGTACCAAGAAAATCTGAGTCTAACCCACCAAATGGGACCACACCAAAAGTGTATCTCCATCCTGTGTCAAAGGCAAAACTGATTCCTGGAGACCTAAATGCTGCTTGGTTCTTACAAAGAATCATCAGTACATCTAAGCAATCCAGTTTTTCATGGCTTGGGGATACTTCCAGAAGAATGGCCTAAGTGAGTAAGATACTAGTCCCAAAGTAGATAAATTATGAAGTAAGGTTTTTTTTTTTATTAAGTAATCTCTATGCCCAATGTGGAGCTCAAACTCACAACCCCGAGACCAAGAGTCGCATGCCAGCTAGACACCCAGGAAGTAGGATTTTTAAAATTGCTTGCATCGGTTTGTTTAAACACCTTCTTAATTAATTTGAGAGAACAGTTCACCTTTTTTTTTTTTTTTAAGGAAAAAAAAGTGAATATGGCTAGGTAGGTAGGAAACATTAGGCTGGCAATATCATTGGCCTATTTTACTCCAAAATGAGGTTAGGAGTGCTGAGCTAAATTGGAGCTTTTAAAGGATGATGTCCTAGGGAGTGATAACAGACACACCAGCAGAAAATCACTTAAATTAAAGTAATGGTAGGAAAGACTCACCCCCTGGGATGGTTGTTGATATTCATAAAAGTCACCTAGGTTTATTGACTTGTCTCAACAAAAAGTCATGTGTGTTATTATGACATCAGAATACTACTCCACATCAAATAACAGAGTAAAGGACCTGAAAAATGAGGGAGGGGGCAGGCTGGACAGGAGGCAGAGAAGGGAGTGTAGCCTAAGCAACTCCCAATAATTTGCGGGGGGGGGGGGGGCGCTAGGAAAGTAAATTTACACTTAATATCTCACTCCAGATTTCCAGTATTGAGAAATACATGTTTCCCTTTTTTTTTTTTTTAAAGACTTTATTTATTTATTTGAGACAGAGAGAATGAGAGAGACAGAGAGCACATGAGAGGGGGGAGGGTCAGAGGGAGAAGCAGACCCCCCGCTGAGCAGGGAGCCCGATGCGGGACTCGATCCCGGGACTCCAGGATCATGACCTGAGCCGAAGGCAGTCGCCCAACCAACTGAGCCACCCAGGCGCCCTACATGTTTCCCTTTAAAGATGGTTATTTAGAAGTATCTCTTCTAAGGTGATCAATCAGGAAATATTATAACAGATGCCAACTGTCCACAGAGCACTCGGCCAGATACTGCAAATAAAGGGGACCAGGGGGGTCTGGCTGGCTCAGTCGGTGGAGCGCGTGGCTCTTGATCTCGGGATCGTGAGTTTGAGCCCCACCTCGGGTGTAGAGATTCCTTAACAATAAAATCTTTTAAAAAATAAAGGAAATGAGTTTTCCTCCACACGATGTCCTTTCTCCCTGAAGGGATGATACAGCGATGGAGTCAGGGACCAAAAATACCAGACGGCACAGGTTGAAAGGAGCCGCAGGGTTCTGCCAGACCAGTCCCACAACAAGTTAGCAGTTCTCTCTCCAACTCTTGCAAGCGCCCAGGACTGTGCGGGCTTGCTCCCCTCCGGAAGTGGAGGCGGTGCTTCCGGAGGCTTCCACTTCCGGTGGAGAGGGGGCCCGCTGGCCGCCCTTGTTCTGAGTGGGAGTTGGGCAGCTGGCTGCTCCTCGGTGACCTCCGGGGCCGGGACGGACCTGATCCTGAGGGAAGCTTCTCGGCAACATCGCTCTCTTGCCTGAAGAGGTGATCTCCCCACAACCTGCGCGCCATTTTATGTGTTTCTAAACAAAGACTTCGGAGTGGTTGGTGGAGCGGCAAGTCGTTTTTTTCCCCATTGTTATTAATTCACTCATCTAGTACATTTTCTCGAGCTACTGTTGTGTTTCGTTAAGGAAACCGAGGCCTGGAGAGCACAGGCTATATCCGCCGCTTTGTGACTTAGTGATAGATTAATTTCCTGACTTCAGGTCTAGGGCGTTTTGCACTATTCAGGGTGTGTTTTTATTTTGTCTTCGTTGAATTATTTTTTTAAAAGATTTTATTCATTCGTTTGAGAGAGAGGGAGAGAGACAGCGCGCGTGCGCACGAGCGAGCAGGGAGGGGCAGAGGGAGAGGGAGCAAGAGTCTGAAGCCGGCGGAGCACAGAGCCCGGTCCAGGGCTCTTTCCCACAACTGCGAGCCCACGACCTGAGCCGAAACCAAGAGTCGGATGCCCAACCGGCTGAGCACCCAGGTGCTCCCATTGAATGATGTTTAAAAATCTTACTATTCCTGGGCGCCTGGGTGGCTCAGTCGGTTAAGCGACTGCCTTCGGCTCAGGTCATGATCCTGGAGTCCCTGGATCGAGTCCCGCATCGGGCTCCCTGCTCGGCGGGGAGTCTGCTTCTCCCTCTGACCCTCCCCCCTCTTGTGCTCTCTCTCTCTCTCTCTCAAATAAATAAAATCTTTAAAAAAAAAATCTTATTATTCCTTCTTAATGTTCATCCCTTATTCCTCTCTTATGAGTGGCAACAAAGGATTGGCAGCACCAGGAGGACGGAGGTGTGGAGAGGACAAAAGAGAAACGTGTATTGAAATTTTACAATGTACCAGGCTCACGGGGCTCACTGGTGGCATCGCATTACTTTTCACAACCGTCCTGTGAAGTATGTGGCGTTGCTCCAGTTTTGCAGATAAGGAAATTGAGGGGTCAGGTATCTTGTATAAGTTCGCTTGACGAGCTGTCAAATATTTGAGACTGTTTTGAATCCAGTTCTTTCTGACTCCAAAGTTGTTAAATTATACTGCCTCCCATGCCTCAAGCAGGACAAATGTGATGTCTAAATGGCTGCTCAACTCCAATTAGCTCTGCCCAGATTTTTCACATACTTTAAGGAAGAACCTTTATATTGGCCCTTGATCCTGAGTTTAATTGGCCAGAAGACATTAATGTTCCCATGTAAACAGTTACTCATTAATGTAACTCAGAATATCCGCATGCATTACTACCTTGTTCCAAAAATAACTGAAGGCAATTACTTGAACAAAGGTGTTATTGTGTTTCCGGCACAAGTGATGGGGAAGAGATGACTAGAGTCCTATGGTCTCTGACCTCCTGGGACAGCTCTGATTGTTTCAAAATTTATGTTGTGAAAGTTAAATTTTTTTCCCTGAGCACTTTCATTCATCTGTTTCTACACTGAGAGTTGTGTACAATTCAAATTCCTTTTCTATGACGATGCTTCAAATTATTGGCAGTGGCTTTCAGGTTTTCCTAGGGTTTACATTGAAGTGTGGTATGGAGAGAGCTGAGTCAACAACTTCTGGTTAAACAACGCAGATTACTCATACTCTTCTGTGTTCTTTCCGCCCCAAACCCAACACATGTGACAGCAATGAACTAATAATGAACTAATAAAGGTATTAACCCATTAGAAAGAAGAAAGGCAAAGAAGACAACAGTGGACAAAAGATGTTATCACAGTTTTGGGAGTAGGCAAGGAAATAGGAAAGTGATAATTCACTTAGCAAGTCAGAGAAAACTATAACCCAAGGACCTGGAGAGAGAATTTCCGGCATGATGTGAAGAGTACTTCCTGGAGGCTCCCAGCCGTGTGGAAAGCTGGAGAGAGGCCCATGGCTGAGAATGAGACCGGTTCAGAATCCAGGTATACACACACTGATCCCCATTCTTCAATCCCACCCTGGGCAACCTTGCCCAGGATGCTCTTGCCTCCCACCTCCACAGGAGTCCAGAGGCTTATTGTCTAGAGAAATTGAACCAGGAGGCATCAACTTGGTGCAGTGAATAAGTGTGCAGGTGTAAGTGAACACTTTTTTTAATGTATCATTTGTTGATTTAACCCTTTAGATTTGAAAGTAATCATTTAACCAGATTTTTTTAAAGATTTTATTTATTTATTTGAGAGAGAGCACACAAGCAGAGGGAGCGACAGAGGGGGAGAAGCAGACTCCCTGCTGAGCAGGGAGCCCAACTCGGGGCTTGATCCCAGGACAACCGGAGCCAAAGGCAGATGCTTAACAGACTGAGCCGTCCAGGCGACCCTAAGTGAACATCTTCTAATTGAACATGGGATGGGAACCGGTCCCTCCCCCGCTTTATGCCTAAAACACTGCAAGTTCCTATGCTGGCCTGCTCACATGCTAACGGGAGAGCCTCTTTGGAAAAAAAAATTTTCTTGGAAAAAATAAGGTGAGTTTAGACGATTTGCATGTATTGTGATTACAGATTTATTTAGATTTGTTTTTATCTTATTTCATTCATTCCATTTACCCCACTTTTTCTATGCTGCTTTTCCCCTTCATTCTTGACTTGTAATGGATCAATGATTTTGTTATTCTTGCCTTTCCTTCCCTTCTATTGGTTTGTCAGCTGCAACATTCTCTCTCTTTCCTATTCCTTCCTTCTTTCCTCCCTCCCTCCCTTCCTTCTGTGGTTAAACTTTAACATGAATTCTCTGAATTGATCAGTATCTCTATCCTCCTCCAAAACCATGCAAGTGCTATGGAATGCTTTCTTGCCGATGACTTCTCTGTTGACCACATTCTAGTTGCACGTCATTTTTATACTCCCACACAAGTTGTGTTCTGTTGATGCTTGTTTAGATTTAACCAGATATGGACCAATTTCTTCGCTCACCACTCTTTCCTGGTTCTTATTTCTTCCTTCTGAGTTTAATTCCCTTCTTCTTGAAGTACTTCCTCTAATAGTCTTTTGTAAAAATTTATTTATTTTGAGAGAGAGTGCATGCAAGAGTAGAAGTAGGGGCAGAGGGAAAGAATCTCAAGCAGACTCCTTGCTGAGCAGGAAGCCTGTTGTGGGGCTCAGTCTCACATCCCTGAGATCATGACCTGAGCCGAAATCAGGTTGGACGCTTAACCAACTGAGCCACCCAGGCACCCCTCCTTTAATAGTCTTTTAAGCGGGATAGTCTATAGGTGATAAATTCTTTTCTTTGCCTAAAATGTTATTATTTGCCCTCATTCTTGAATTACCAACTAACTGGAAACTGTAGTATAGGTTCACTGGTCTCAGAATTCTAGAGCTATTCCACTGTTCTCTGACTTCTGTTGGTATGTTTATGAAGTCTGCTGTAAATCTAATTGTCATTAATTTGTAGTTAATATCTGTTCTCTTTGAATGTTCTTTTTTTTTAGAATTATAAAATGTATTTTATTTTTTATTTATTTTTTTGTTGTTAGTAAGTTCTTTTATGTATCTCTGGTGTTCTGCAATTTCATAGAATATTCTAATTGTTGATTCCTTCCTTCCTTCCTTCCTCCCTCCCTTCCTTCCTTTTCTTCTTTCTTTCTTTCTCTTTTTCTTTTTCTTTTAGTTATCTGGGTAGGGACTTACTGTACTTCCTGAATCTGAGGATTCATGTCATTCATCAGTCATCAGTTCTGGAAAAATTTCATCAATTATATCTTTTCCCTTTGCCTCTTCCTTATCTTTGTGTGCTTCTTTCCTTTGGGACTCATATTAGATGTACATCTGACTTTCTCTTTTTATCCTTTATCTGTCTTAACCTCTGTTCCACATTTTCCATCTCTTTATCTCCATGCAATGTTTTAAGTAATTTTCTCTTCCATATTTATCTTTCTTTCTTCCGCAGTATCTATCTTGCTGTGAATACACCCATTCACTTTTTAATTTAAATTAATTTTCATTTCTTCAAGTTCTTTGTTCTTTCCAGTATGTCTGTTCTTTTTTATATTATTTTATATTTCAAGTCTTCTTTAATTTCTTTTAATTATTTAAGACATAGTTATTTTATAGTTCAAGAATTCTGTATCTCCAGAAGAGACTCTTAAGTGTAGAGAACAAACTGAGGGTTGCTGGAGGGGAGGTGAATAGGGGGATGGGCTAAATGGGTGATGGGTATTAAGGAGGTCACTTGCTGTGAAGAGCACTGGGTGTTATATGTAAGTGATGAATCACTAAATTCTACTCTTGAAGTTAATACTATGCATATATGTTAATTAGAATTGAAATAAAAACTTGAAACATTAAAAAAAAGAATTCTGTATCTTTAATTCTTGAGAATTCAATCCTGCTGCTCTTGTATCTGCTAGCTCTCTATCCTGCTGTTTACTTTTGTGGCTTTTAGTTTTTTATTGTGAGTTCATCTTTAGCAGGGCTTTGTGAATGTCCTCATGGCCTGGGTTGAGGGTTTGTCCCACCAAAGAGATTTTAGTTTTGTTCTATCTAGGTGTTCCAGGGGTTCACCACTCCAGGACCACTATTTTTTTTTTTTTAAGATTTTATTTATTTTAGAGAGAGAGAGAGAGCATGCGTGTGTGGGCAGGGGGAGGGGCAGAAGGAGAGAGAATCTCAAGCAGACTCCTTGCTGAGTGCAGAGCCTGATGTAGGGCTCAGTTTTACGACCCTGAGATCATGACCTGAGCCAAAATTAAGAGTCATATGCTTAATCAGCTGAGCCACCCAGGTGCCCCTCCAGGACCACTATTTATGTTAATTTCTTAGCATTTGAATTCTTAGTGCGTGATGGAAGTAAAAATTCAAACCCTGGCAGGTACATGGTTACAAATTCTTTTTTTTTTTTATTTTTTTTTATTCTTATGTTAATCCCCATACATTACATCATTAGTTTTAGATGTAGTGTTCCATGATTCATTGTTTGTGCATAACACCCAGTGCTCCATGCAGAATGTGCCCTCCTCAATGCCCATCACCAGGCTAACCCATCCTCCCACCCCCCTCCCCTCTAGAACCCTCAGTTTGTTTTTCAGAGTCCATCGTCTCTCATGGTTCGTCTACCCCTCCGATTTCCCCCCCTTCATTCTTCCCCTCCTGCTACCTTCTTCTTTTTTTTTTTTTCTTAACATATATTGCCAGGCTCCCTGCTGGGCGGGGAATCTGCTTCTCCCTCTGCCTTTCTCTCTCTCTCTCTCTCTGTCTCTCATGAATAAATAAATAAATAAATAAATCTTTAAAAAAAACCCAAAAAACATATATTGCATTATTTGTTTCAGAGGTACAGATCTGAGATTCAACAGTCTTGCACAATTCACAGCGCTTACCAGAGCACATACCCTCCCCAGTGTCTATCACCCAGTCACCGCATCCCTCCCACCCCACCCCCACTCCAACAACACTCAGTTTGTTTCCTGCGATTAAGAATTCCTCATATCAGTGAGATCATATGATACATGTCTTTCTCTGTTTGACTTATTTCGCTCAACATAATACCCTCCAGTTCCATCCACGTCGTTGCAAATGGCAAGATCTCATTCCTTTTGATGGCTATGGTTACAAATTCTTAAGGGAAACTCCTTTGTCCCCCATAGCCATACCTGCCAACCCACACACATATGAATAGTTTACAACACTTCATGCCAGTGCACGGATTTTTTCTTTCAGTTTATCCCCCCCCCCCTTTTTTTTTTGGACAATGTAGCCTTTCAAACATTCCCCCTTTATTCAGGGATCTCACTTCCAATTCTTTACCTCAAATGGGCCAATGCCTTGTCTCATGGGCATTAAAACTCAGTTTTTAGGTCTTGAGGTAAGAATGGATTATCTCTGTCCCCATTAACCCACTTGTTTTTGGTTTCCAGTTCCTAATTGTTTTTCTTCTCTCTACCTCAGGCTTTCCCTTACTGTTTTGGAACGCAGGTGTTCATTTCAAAGGATGTTTATAATCCAAATGTCTGCATTTTCTGAGAGTTTTAATATTATGTTGTTTACCATTAGCAAAAACTGATAATTCTCTTCATTTCTTATGCACAGCCATTTAGTCACCTTCTGATGTCTAAAATCTGGCTCACTCCAGTCAAGCTTACTGATTCTCATCTTTCTATCTCAACTAGCTCAATAAAACATCTTCTAAACAAACAAACAAACAAATTCCTCTTCACTACCCACTACATCAGAAAAAGGATTCTAAATTTATTTATTTATTTATTTATTTATTTTTAAGATTTTATTTATTTATTTGAGAGAGAGAGAATGAGAGACAGAGAGCACGAGAGGGAAGAGGGCAGAGGGAGAAGCAGACCCCCTGCTGAACAGGGAGCACGATGCGGGACTCGATCCCGGGACTCCAGGATCATGACCTGAGCTGAAGGCAGTCACCTAACCAACTGAGCCACCCAGGCGCCCGGGATTCTAAATTTAAAAGTGTAATCCATTGAAAATTACCAGGACACTTAAAAAAAAGAGAGAGAGAGAGTAGAACTTGCCCTAACCAATTTTAAAATATGCTATAGATCATGGGGCGCCTGGGTGGCTCAGATGGTTAAGCGTCTGCCTTCGGCTCAGGTCATGATCCCAGGGTCCTGGGATTGATCCCCACGTCGGGCTCCTGACTCAGCAGGGAGTCTGCTTCTTCCTCTCCTTCTCCCTCTGCCTCTCCCACTGCTCATGCTCTCTCTCTCTCTCTCTGTGTCTCAAATGAATAAATAAAATCTTTAAAAAAAATGCTATAGATCTACTATAATTACACATTATAGTATCAGTTGAAAATATAAATAAATCATTGAGGCAAAACACACAGTCAGAAGTCTTTTCTCTCCAAATCCCAATGAATGGTCTCATGTACCCTTTGGCAAAGCTGATACATAACTGTTTGGGCCCAATGATTGATTTCATTACTCATTTTTATCCTGATTCTTTCATGGATTGGCTGAATGGAAATCCATTCTATTGTTGCATTTTTAGGACCCTTGCCTCAATGAACCTTGATTAAAGAGCAAATCAGTAGCATTAATATAAAATCTACACCAACCAGCTATTTTCTTAAAATTAAAAATGTCAAAATTTGACATACATCTAACATCTTTACAAAACCCTGCGCTAAATGTGGGGCACAGGAAGGGTAGTGGTATGTAAATATGGAAAAGGAACAGAAAGTTTAATTGGCGAGCTAAGCATGGAAACAGGATTATGATGCAAAATACACTAAAAACTTTTGAGAGTAAATCTGAATACTAAAAAGAGCACAAGGAGGGGTGTCTGAGTGGCTCAGTCGTTAAGTGTCTGCCTTTGGCTCAGGTCATGGT